GCGGGTGCCGGTGGGGAGCAGCGGAGGGGTCCGGGTGCTGAGGAACGGAGGGGTCCCGGTGCTGAGGAACGGAGGGGTCCCGGTGCTGAGGAACGGAGGGGTCCGGGTGGGGAGGAACGGAGGGGTCCCGGTGCTGAGGAGCCCACAGCTCCTGCGGGCCCGGAGCCCAGCGCACCCTCCCCGGTACCGGCCGGGGGGCTCGGTCCGGTGCCGCCGGCCCCGCTGCGTTCCCCGTCCCGGCAGCAGCGCCGGGAGAAGAGCACACGGCTCTTCCAGAGCTCAGAAAGCTCCAGCGCAGCTCGGAGAAGCCCTGTCCTTTTGTCCTCTCGCTGCTTTTCATTTTCATCGCTGGAGAGGAGCGGCCGGTTTGCTCTACAGAAGGGAAAGCGGGACAGGGAAGATCCCGGTGGGATGGAGGCAGCTGGGAAATCACTACAACAAAACCTGAAAGGCAGGAGTGCACCGACACGGCTGCACAGAGGAGTGTGAAACCAGTGCCGGGCAGAGCAGCTGAAGTTCAAGGAACGTCACACAAAGGGCTGAGCTCTGTAACAAGCTCTGGGAGGGAGAGTTAAACAGGTGGGGCAGGCACATCTGCTTCACGTCTTGGTTTCACGCAGGACCAGACATAATGCTGGAGCAACCACCTGGGTGTGTGCTTTGTTGATGTTGAAGGATAAATGTCTCTCGTTTAGCCCAGAGGACCCTCCTCTGGGCTTCTGCACTGCACATGAGGAGCTGCATCAGCTTCCTGCTGCCTGCCGGGGACCCCAGAGCCACGCAGCACTCCCGGAGGCTTTGCAAAGACTGTTCTCATTAACAACAAAATCCAAGACGTCCTGCACTGTGCCTGGCACTGCTGATGCAAACGGATCCTACCTGGTTTACGTTTAACATCAGAACTGGGCGGGGTGTTAAAATCAGAATGTGGAGCAAACTAATCCCATGGTCAGTAGAGATCTGAGCTTGAGAGACTCTGGGTTTGCAAAAGGAGGGTGTCCATTAGCATGAAGTTTTACCTAGAAGGAAAAATAAGTGCAAGCGTGAGGCAGGTGTATGAAACCTCTGTTCTCCCTCTGAGTAACAGAGAAGACCTGAAAGGTGTTCCTGAGGGCATGTTGTACACAGGATGATATTAATTTAAGAGATGGTTCTGCTTCTAATGCCATATCCATATCCAAATTTCTGGGGATTTACCTTTCCTCGGCCACTGGAGGGTTTTGCCCAGGACAGGCTTGGCAAGACACGCCTGCGTGGGCCGGGGTGGTGACAGAATCCACTGACGGGCTGACCGCGGGAAGTCGGGTTCCAGCACTTTCCCCGTCAGCAGCTCCCCTGCCGTCAGAAACGAGGAACTGTGAAACGTCGGGAACTTGCCGGGGGCTGAGCAGTGTTTCCCGGTGTGGCCGGGAGTCAGTTCAGCTCGGAGCTCTCAGGTGCACTGAGGCTCCGGGCCGCTGTCCCCACGTGGGTAACCACACGGGCTGCAGCGTTTCAGCCCCTTTGGAGGGAAAATCCTCTACAGAAGCGTTTACCTCTGGGTGTGGTAAATCCTTCCTGTGGGCCTGCCTAGATCTGCCCCACTGGCAACTGGTTCAGTCTGCTCTAGAGCAGATGCTCTTTGGGGACCTTCTGGCAAGCTGCAGGTGGGTTTCCTCCTGTCTGCTCGCTTCCCTTCTCCAGGAAAGAGAGTTGCTGTTGCCATTAGACTCTTTTCTTATCTCTGTTTCATGTTTTTCAGCCTACAAGGAGAAAATGAAGGAGCTGTCTCTGCTCTCCCTCATCTGCTCCTGTTTCCACACCCAGCCCCATCCCAACACCATCTACCAGTATGGAGGTAGGTCCCCTGCTCCCTACTCATCAGGGCACCAGGCTGTCCCACCCTGGGGCAGCAATCCCTGTCTCACTCTGGGTGTCTCTGTGTCATCTCCTTTCACATTTATTTTAGTAACATAATCCACATTTTCCCAGAAAGAATCTGCTGGCAGGGGCTGGCTGCTTCCCCCCCGGGTGACACAGGAGATGTCACCAGCAGCACTGCCTGGCTGTAACTGTGCTGTGATTTAAATTCATTGCATGGACATGGGGGTGATGAGGCTAATCACTAATTGGGAAACTTTAAAGCTAGAATAAAATCATGTCAGGACATGAGAACACCCCGATTCCTATGTGAAGAGCTTGGTGCCCTCAGGGGAATGCTCTCCTGAGTGTCCCAGCTCCACAGAGCCTCTGTTGTTTCTTCCTCCCCCCCCCCCCCCCTCAAAGATATGGAGGTGAAGCAGCTGGATAAGAGGGCATCAGGCCAGAGCTTCGAAGTGATCCTGAAGTCCCCTTCAGATTTATCTCCTGAGAGCCCGATCCTTTCCTCCCCCCCCAAGAAGAAGGACCTGTCCCTGGAGGAGCTGCAGAGGAGGCTGGAGGCTGCAGAGGAGAGGAGGAAGGTAACAAGATGCCCTGTAGAAGCTGTGGCTTTTCTGTGGTGGGTACTAATGGCAGCAAACCCTAAAAAAGGGAGCTGGGTCTCTTTAGCCTGGAGAAGAGGAGACTGAGGGGCAACTCATTGATGTTTACAACAGAGCCAGGCTCTTCTCAGTGGTGTCCAGTGATAGGACAAGGGGCAACGGGTACAAACTGGAGCTTGGGAGATTCCACATAAAAATGAGGAAAACCTTTTTCACTGTGAGGGTGATGGAGCCTGGGACAGGCTGCCCAGAGAAGTTGTGGAGTCTCCTTCTCTGGAGTCTTTCAAAACCTGCCTGAACACGTTCCTGTGTGACCTCCCCTTGGGGATCCTGCTCTGGCAGGGGGGTTGGACTCGATGATGTTCCGAGGTCCCTTCCAACCCTGAACATTCTGTGATTCTATAAATGTATTTCAGTTTCACTTCAGCCCTGGAAACTAGTTTTACAGAGTAATTACTCTCAGAGTCCTTTTTGCAGTGTTCTGAGCAACCTGCTCTGGCGGGAGGTGTCCCTGCCTATGCAAGGGGGGTTGGAACCTGATGAGCTTTAAAGTCCCTTCCAACCCAAACCAGCTGTGGGTTTTAAGAGCCTCTTTGGTTGCCTCCCCCTTCTCCCGGCAGACCCAGGAGGCTCAGGTGCTGAAGCAGCTGGCGGAGAAGCGGGAACACGAGCGGGAGGTGCTGCACAAGGCGCTGGAGGAGAACAACAACTTCAGCCGCCTGGCCGAGGAGAAGCTCAACTACAAGATGGAGCTGAGCAGGGAGATCCGCGAAGCTCACCTGGCTGCCCTGAGGGAGCGGCTGCGCGAGAAGGTGAGTGCCCTGGAGGGGGGAACCTGGGCCCTGATCCCTGGGGAGACATCCCGGAGCGATGGGCAGGGGGTGTTTTGTTAGCGGTGGGAAGCGGGGTGTGGAGCAGCCCTGCCCCGGGGCGGTGTGAGGAGGGGGGATGTGTCCTTCCAGGTGGGTAGAGGAAATGCCACCGGGCTGGGTTTGAGCAGAGGAAGGTCAAAGGCAAAGGATCGGGCCCACCCACCTGAGGGGCTCTGCAGATCACTGAAGGTGATCTCTGTAGGTTGGCATCCCCCCCGTCCCACAGAGGAGCTGCTTCCCTCCTTGTGACCCGTGTCCTGGGGATGCGCCCGATGGGAAACTGGTCTCTTGTTTTCCCTGGTGCGAATCCTGCCTGAGAGAGAGAAGGG